TTGGAGAAGGCAAAACTAATTAGTTTATGGGTTGTAGTCTTTCTTTAAAGTTGTGTGTGTGTGTGTGTGTGTGTGTGTGTGTGTGTTTTACTGTACAGAGGGGTCACCAGGGTTTGAATACTTTGTGGTGTAAATCCAAAATAATCCTGTGTAATCTTTGTAATCTTACTCAACCTTGATTTAAAGGGCAATTTACAGAAGCCACGGCAGCCTCTTTGAGTGCATTAGCAGTCTGATGATTGTTTGTTTCTCTTCACTGAGTCCGACCAATCAGGAGGCAACAAGTGTGTTTGTAAACAAAAACAAAACCATTGTTTTCTTAAATCTATATATATAGAGAGAGATTTTATTTTCTGAAATCAACAGATCTGTTGTTTAAAAAAATACTTTTAAATAGTTTTAAAATTAGTTTTGCAGTTATCATTTGTTTCCCATTTCGTACAGTCGAAGCAGAAAAATCAGTTTTTTATCAGCAAAAGATTGAGAACGTAACGATGTTTGTAGGTGTGTGTAGTTCTGCCTGAGAGTCTCTCGAGCATCTAAACTGCTCTCTAATGTAACAGGAAACACATTTTCCTCCCAGATTACGGTCACAGTTGAAACACACGCTTGACGCAGTAAACTGAAACATAACAACAATAAACGCTCCAAAGCGGTTTAGGAAACAACAACAAAAAAAAGACAGTTAGTGGAAACTAAATCAAAGGGCAAAAGAAAAAGTTATTTGATCACACGGGAAACAAACAGCGCTCTTCACTTCATCCTCATTCGAAACTAACTAGTGACATTTTACTTTCAGAAAAATAGCAACACTTATCGTGTCGAGCTCGTGAAGCGTTTTTTACGGTATTTGGTTCGGGTAACTTTTGCTCTCACTCAGCGAAATCGTCTTGTCCTTGACTGTTCGCTCTCTTTCTACCGACCCTCGCCTGCCGCCCGGCCCCAGGGGTCCCGCCCCCAGAGGTCCCGCCCCCCCCCCCCAGTGCTCTGCAGGAAGCCCGCGAGCCGCTCCGCGTGCCTGACGAGAGACGCCGCCGTCTGCTCTGCATTATTAACACGAAACCCTCGGGGGGATCATCTCGCGTTGCATGCGATCTGGCGGCTGAATGGCGGCGCCGGACCACTTCGGGACGCCGACACAATCTGCAGGTGCGTGTACCCAGGTCCGTCGTCGGCCGCGGCCTCCTAACGCCACAGATATTTCGGGAATTTGCTCCCACAGGTGAGAGGACTACTGGTTTTGTCAGGTAGAATGATCCCTCCCGTTTAATCACTGCCATGTGCTGCACAGAGGTCATAGGTCACAGAGATGTTAGCACGCCGAGCTCGCAGGTTCTCATTAGCCAGAAAGGTCGACTCAGCCGCGTGGGAGCGAAAGGTCGGTTTTGTCCCAGAAGATTGTGGGTAAAAAAAAAAAAGAAAGAAACTGAGAACTGGACAGAATTCAACTCAATTTTTTGTTGTCGGTGAAGGTCAAAGTTCAATATACTTGTACACGTAGAGATACTTTCCAACAAGATTCTGAAAAACTGCTCACAGTCTTACACGACTACGACACCGGTCTAGTTCGAAAGGTCTGGGGGGAAAAAGAAAAGATTAGTCTTTAAAATGCAGGATCCGGGTCCCCTCTAAAGTATGACGACGTCTACCTGACGTGATTTTAACATGACTTGAACCATTAAGCAGTGGACCTCCAGCGCGTCCCCCAATTACTCAGCGTCCCACTAAACCTGTAACAAAGCTGGCGTCCCCTGTTTGATAAGTACACCAGTATACACACACACACACACACACACAAATCCTTTCCTCGGGGTAAATCTGGGTGGGAGGTTACGAGGTCAAACTGCATTGCTCAGCAGCAGTGTGTGGTTTAAACTCTCTCTCTCACACACACACACACACACACACACACACACACACACTGGCAGGAATAATTTGCCTTCACATTTCAGAGGCGGTGATGTGGATGAAGGTTGAACTCCATCATTAGAAACATGAACTCACTAAAAATAGATCCGGGGAGACTGACGGTTGGTAGTGATTCATAATAGTAACTCGCGTATGCCTGTTTTATATATGAAAGTGACAGATTTATTAAAACATAAAAACTTGAATATCCATATAAAGTGTTAGTGCTTTTCAACAAAAGCTTATTTCTATCTTTTCTATATTTAATTGTATGTCTTTTTACAACAAAATGTGTCAGTTTTTAACCACTTTATTAAAACCAGACAAAATAACTTTTTTACCCCAAAATAATAATGATTGCATCCTCCATCAGAAGCAACAGTAATGTAGTGTTTGAATTACAAGGCAGCCCTACATTTAGTTTTGTTACACATGTAACACATGTTCCTGCACACGTGTCCCTGCACACATGTTCTTCCACACGTGTCCCTGTACACATGTTCTTCCACACGTGTCCCTGTACACATGTTCCTGCACACGTGTCCCTGCACACATGTTCTTCCACACGTGTCCCTGTACACATGTTCCTGCACACGTGTCCCTGCACACATGTTCTTCCACACGTGTCCCTGTACACATGTTCCTGCACACATGGTGTCTGATTTCCCTCAAAATAGTTCCTTAGTCGAAGGAGAGAGAAAAAGAGTCTGGTTCTGCTCACACAGGATCACACCAACATGGCCGAGAATCCAAACGACAGCTTGTTTGGAGGAGCTCCATCACTTCCTGTTAGAAAAAAAAAAAAAAAATCACAGAGACCCCAACACCCAACTACCCCCCCGCCCCCTCGCCCGGAAACTAAAGCCGTGGAGAATATGTTTGTGTGTGAGGGGAACTCCAATGAAGCTCAGCCAAGCCCTTCACTAATCCCCCAAAGACTCCCACAGCTCAGCAGTGTGTGTGTGTGTGTGTGTGTGTGTGTGTGTGTGTGTGGAGGTGAAGCGAGGGTCCCACACTCTGCAGTCGGCCCACCCATATTTCATGTTTTCTTGTTCTGCTCTCTCGCCCCTCAAGAAGGAAATTCCACCTCTGACTGAAGGGTCACATGACCAAATCAAGCCTACGTTTCCCACAGTGCAAAGGGGCCTTTTCATCGTTATTCAATGGAAGTTCTTGCTCGGTGATAATATATAAACATCTAAAACAACAGTTTTATGTGTTGGATTCATACGTTTCACCAACGCATTTTGTCACCTTTTTTTAAACGGGTAACTTTTCAACTATCTCGTATTTCTAAGAGATCTGTTAATACCTTGAAAAGGCCCATTTTAGGAGGGAAAAACAGGAAAGACCCACGGCGCCGTACGGAGTTTACTTGTGTAACGCTGTTACGCTTCCGCCTCGCTAACGACTCGCTGGGGGGCTTCACGCAGACACACACACACACACACACACACACACACACACACACACACACACAGAGCCAGAGATGTTTGTTCTGGCTAATACCTTCAGACATGCAGATGCCCAATCGCGGTCTAGTCGAATTTGCCAGGTGAGAGGAGGCGTGGAAGAAAGACCGGCTTAAACAACAGTTTGAACTGTTGACCCTCACGAAGCGTCGAGGGCGACGAGTGCTGGATGTTTTAAAGGGGAAAAGCTAAACTGAAATGGTCAAAATCATCAAATAAAACCTGTGCAGGTGACCAGGAAGGAGAAGCTTTTGACAGTGACAGACGTCGTCGTGCATCGTGCTTCCTTCAGCCCAGGTGTGCATCAAAAGTCAGGTCATTCTTATCTCATGCCGTGTTACAAACGGTGGCAGTTCTTGTATTTATTTCATCTTTTAGGGACTCTTTAAATCTGCCGTACTGTGACTCGGTGAGTCTTAATGAGCCACAATGGAGCCTGCGATCCTCAGGTGAGGCCCCTCAGGTAGATCCCTTCACTCACTCGAAGCGTACGGAAGCCCTCGAAAAATAAAATGTAGACACAACAAACATATAGAGTCATGTTAGTTACTAATAGTAACCGCTGTTCTTTCTCTCAGTGAAGCAGAGGCGTGGTCACGATGAAGGGTCAGGTGACCCGGGTCGATCTGTTCACACGGACTAATCACCGGCTGTTCTGGTGTCCCGCGATGCCGCGGGACAAACCATTCACGCGTGTGTGTCTGCGTTGCTGCGCATCCACACATTCCAGTGTTGCTCATTTATGCTGCTGTGTGAGCTGCTGACTGTTTAAATCCTAAAAACCATCAGGCAGGCCTCTGAAAACCAAGATATCCCAGGATGTCTGCACACACACACACACACACACACACACACTTGGATTGAGTGTGTTGGGCTGTGACAGACTGTGTAGTCTCAGTGTGTGCGTGTGTGTTTAATGGCGGGTCTGAAGGACCAACAGCTACCCCTGCAGACAGACATGCGTCTCTGCTGGTGTGCTGTGCAGCCTGTTGTACCCATAATGCTGTTGGGAGGAACATATTTAACACGTTGACTTGAATGGAGTCATCAAGGAGAAACAGAAACTGGACCAAAACACGTTTAAGAAATACTGAAGAAAGAAATGAGTTATATATAAATAAATTATTTTACCCAAACTACAAACATGTTATCAATTTATGGTGGTTTAGTGGAACACTGTAAAATGTAGGTAATGAATTGGCAGTAATTTAATAATGTTTTACCAATATATAATAACCTTAAAATTAAAAAAGTAGCAAACATTTAAAATCCGAATATAGGAAATGATTTAAATAAAATACAATTTCACAATAAAAATAATAGATGTGACTTTATAGTTTTCTGTTAATGTTTACGGAGATAATAGGGTGATTTTCACAGACTTCCACTCTTCAGATCAGCCGCCCTCTGCTGGCCAGTAGCGAGAACACGCGTTTAAAACGCCTCTGCAACTCATCATACATCACGTCCAAATCTAAAAACCTAACCAGTATTGTTGAATTCCAAAAAAACTTCCCATTAACCCACCACCGTCTCATTTAAAGCTTTGTTTTTAAACGTTTTTTTTCCCTTTATTACACATTTCCAGTCAGGCATTCTACGCACCGGCTACAAGCGGTCAAACGAAGGGGTCCTTCCGGGTCCTTCCTGCCCTGAGCCGCTCCGCCAGCCCCTTGACGTCAACGACCACCGGAGGGAGGAAAGAAAAAGAAAAAAAAAACTACTAAACTAACCCCGAAATCCTCCCCGAACCGACCGGGTTCCGGCAGCCATGATGGGCGGAAGGACCAGCGCGCTCGCCGCGGGGCTGTGCGGCGCTCTGCTCGTCGGCTACTGCATCTATTTCGACAAGAAGAGACGGAGTGACCCCGACTTCAAGAACAGGCTGCGAGAACGTGAGTGTCGACCTCCTCTTCCTTCCTCGCGAACCAGGCCTCGGAGCTGCGGATCCGCTACCGTGGGGTGTCGACGCGGTTCCGGTCGGCTTTGCCTGCCCGGTAGAGGCTGAAACGGTGGTGGCCTGTGGGCTGCAGAGGCTCTGGTGTCCCGGTACAACCGGCTCGGGGCCGTCTGCTATCGAGCCGAACCCCGGTCCGCTTATCGAACGTTTTTTAAATGTCTTCGTATTAATTGGCGTGGAGTTAACCGACTTCACTGAGCGTTCGCTACACCGTCTTCGGGTTAATTCGGCCTTACGTTGACCCGCCGATCAGCTCTATGACCCTCTTTACGTGACCCGGAAGAGGTCGGCCCGGCTGCTTCCGGTCCTGCTCCCACCGAGGCGGTACATGTAGTCCGCCTTCGGGGTTTTGTTGTCAACTAAAACGTTTGTTGTGTGTTGGTAAATAATTGTAGGAAACCAATGGACTTAGTGTGACAGCTGCAGACGTTGTGGCTTCTTTTGGTCATTAGTCTTAGAAACAATAAATGCCCACTAAAAGGATGGATGAGATGGAAGTATCTATTTGCTGTTGTGTGTGTTTTATCAGGACTCAAAGTAAATACTGTTTATCCAGGGTAGGTTTGTTGATTGCAAACTGGCTTTATTTTGTAAATGTCTCTTGTTATGCATTTGGTGTCACAACAGCAGCCTTTGCTGAAGGGCCCCTCTGCACACAGGGACTCATTCATCAAGCTGTTGCGTAGTCGGTATCACGGTGCCTTCTGCAGGGCCTTCTGCCAGATGGAGGTTACGCTTTTATCCAATCTAATACGAGAAGCTCTTATTGTGAAGCAGCAGTCACATGAATCAAAATCAAAATGTGCAATCGATTACAATGTCGGTATTTAGTGCCGGCTAACTCAGACCTTGTTTTCAAAATTGTTATTCCACAATTATATATTAGGCAATTAGACGATATGAATCAATCACCTCAGTAAATTTCTGATGCACTGATACTTTTTTGTTGTTGTTGCATTTAAGTACTTGCAGATACTAAGTGTCAATATTAGCACTAGATGATACAAGCCATGATTTTGACATCCGGCTTATTTTTCATCATGTTGTTTTCACATTCGACTTTGATAGTGATTACTTGTGTTAACAGTTAGCTTTGCTTTAAGTGTTGCTTTTAAGGACTTGTGTGATCCGAGTACCTCTTGAATTTAGTGAGTAAAGTTGTGATAATGAATGTGGACTCTGACGGTTTGTGGTATTGGTTTCTGTTGCAGGGCGGAGAAAGCAGAAGGCAGCCAATGAGAGGTCAGGCATGGCCAAGGTGAGCACCAACCATCTGTAACACTTCCTGTTATCACCTGTCAATCAATTCACCACTGATCAGCTGGCTCTCAGATCAGATCTCACTACTGTTCACCGTGTGACGACTTCCTGTGAGGACCTGAGTTTGTTTGTCCTGCAGCTCCCCGACCTGAAGGACGCTGAGGCGGTGCAGAAGTTCTTCCTGGAGGAGATCCAGCTGGGGGAGGAGCTTCTGGCTCAGGGTAACAACACCTTCACAGTTTGAGTCTATTGTTTCTAGTTGTTATTCCAAGGAGAACGTAGACGGCTCTCATAGGAACTAACTGAAAATGAGGAGTGACTTTCTGTGAGACGTCACCACTGTAAGAAGCCCATTGAGGACATACGTCTTCACCTCGCGTCCTTGTGCTCCTCAGGAGACTACGAGAAAGGCGTGGACCACCTGACCAACGCCATCGCCGTGTGTGGTAAGCCTCAGCAGCAGACTCTGCCTCCACCCGTCTTCCAGATGCTCCTCACCAAACTGCCCAGCATCAGGCAGGTAGGGGGACACGTCTCTTTGTCCTTCCTTTGGACCTTACCGGTCCTTCTGTCCTCCACGCAGAAAGAACACGAGAAAAAATGTTGCCTTGTGAGGTGATTTTGTATCTGAAGGAGGTCACGCCTCCTCCACGTGGTCCAGTCGCTGTGCACGTGTCATCAAGGAGACAAACAGGTATGACGTCATAAACTCATGAAGCTGCTTCATGAATAACAGCCTGTGCAGCTCCAACAACTACAGCTCAGCTGCTAAACTCTTGTTACATCATTTAAGTTCATGGTTTTGCTCTCCGGCACCAAATAAATACTTTGTTACTACAGCAGGAAAACTGTGGATCAACGTTT